TTTTCGTTGGTCGTTTGGAATCCTACTTCATCTTGTTTTTTTTAAAATTTTTTATGTTCTTGTTTGTGTTGATTTTTAAAATAATATTTATAGTAGTATTTCTTTAGTTGCAATTGTGATACTTGTTGATTTTACACAAACAATAATTTTCTTTATTATTATCATTGTTATAACATTTATGAGAGACAGCATTGAATAGACATGCTGAAGGAATATCAACCATCCTGATGACAAGTGAAACTAATACTAGTCTTGACACAAGTCTTTGTTCAAGAAACTGTGAGCTAAGAGTGTCCATCTTCCCTGCTATTCCTGTTCTTCCAGGCTGTTGTCAAGTTCATAATTAATTATCATTGCATATCATAGTCATAACATTAATTAATTGTTTGTTTTTTAAAATAAAATAAAATAACACACTTGATAAAACAGTAACATGTAAAATCAATACCTTTTTTTTTTAGCTAGAAACCTCCACTAAAGTATTGCAGTAAGTTGATTCCAAGCATAGCTTGGTAAAAAATAAATTGCTTCTTCCAGAGCTGCAGATGTGAGCATGCGCGACCACACCCAAATTTTGGAGCACATGGCAAGCTTCTTTAGTTAACAAAATGGCGGCATGTAGCTAAGATGGCTCGATCCAGCAGTCACAGTATCACTTTTTTCCTTACTTGAAGAATGATCTGATGGGACATGGACCTGTGCATAGACTGTTGGAATAGATTGGTGTAAGAATTATTCTTGTAGCATCAACTGATACTGAGATACACACCGACAACTGGATTGACAGGACTTGATGAAGATAGATGAAAAAGGTGGCTGAACATTGAAAACGGCCGGTTCGCCGATTTTTGACTTTTCGCTTAGACAAGGTCTAGAGCCACGCTAGTTGTACCATTGGAGTCCTCTGGTCAAGATAAGGTCCTCTATAAAGTCTGGTAAGCATAGGAGCTCGTTTTCCCGGTATAGCAAGGCTGCAAAGTCGTGGCAGCCATTTTGTTTGGGGGTGAATCCTACTTAGTAACGCTACCGCGTTACTAATATGGTAACAATGAATATAATTAACTGATCACAAGATGTCATTAGACTTAGAGGACAAGTGTTGGGTTGCTTTTAGAGAAGGAGATCATGAAGAAGTTGTTCGCTTACTACCATTAGTGAAGGAACCAAGTAAAATTAAAAGAACATATATATGGGATAATACAAGTTTACTTCATTTGTCTTCATGGAATGGCTGGTTAGATGTCACAAAAGATCTCATCACTAAATATCACTGTGACCCACACAAAAGAGATAGTGTAGGTCAGAATTGTCTTCATTGGGCAGCACGAGGTAATCATCTTGATGTGATGAGATATCTCATTGATGAGTGTCACTGTGATCCAATGGATACTGATTCATTAGGAGATACTGTTCTTTACAGGGCAGCTCATTATGGATCACTTGATGTCATGAAGTACTTGATCAATCATCATCACTGTGATCCAATGGCTACTAACAATGAGGGTGAGACTGTTTTTCAGCACGCAGCTAAAGGTTCACCATCACCTGATGTGATCATATATCTAATCAATGAGTGTAACTGTGATCCAATGACTGTTGACAAGAAGGGGTGGACACCACTTCACACTGCTTCTTATTATGGTCGTTCTGCAGTTGTTGAATGCTTACTATCAACTGGTAAATGTGATCCATTGGCTAAAGACAATGAGGGGAGAACACCATTAGAGCTAGCTAAAAACAGGCAGCAGAGAGGTGGGACTAATACACTTCCTATCTTTAAGAAGTTTGGTGATATAAAATCATCTCATCCAATTGATTCTTATGTTAACGTCCTCCTTGTGGGTAATCCTGGAGCTGGTAAAAGTACTCTTAGTCATGTCATCAATGACACAGCTACTGGTTCTATTGCTCTTGGTTCCTTTAGAAATGTTGGAGGGGTAGTGCCCTGTACTGCTGGCATCATTCCTTACAAAATAAAACACAGGACACTGGGTAACATCATTCTTCATGATTTTGCTGGTCATTCTGAATACTATTCCAGTCACTCTGCTGTCATTGAGAATCTGTTACAAGGATCTGGTGGTGTGTTCCTGATAGTAGTCAATATATTGGAGAAGGAACCAGTCAAGCAGCTTCATCAGTGGCTAACAGTTGTCAGAAATGAAGCACACAAAGCTCTTAACCAATGCCATGTTATTGTTATAGTCAGTCATGTGGATGAGATACTTACTAATCCTTTTGAAAGGAGAAGGAAAAAGGAAGAAATACAGGAGATTATTGTAAGGGAAAGGTGTGATAGTGTCTTCTTAGATTGTCGTAAGCTTGGTGGGAGTGGTGTGGATTCCTTCTTTAATAAGTTGTCTAGTGCCTGTGAGTCCATTCGTAGTACAAGTGGAAGGAATTTGAGTCTTTATTGTCACATGATGTATGGTCTACTGGAGGAAAGGAAAGAGAATATACTGACCCTCTCTGATGTAATGTCTGCTACTGAGGACAATGATGATTACAGTTTATCTGATAAGAGAGAAGACGTCTTGGACGCTATTCACTTGTTGCACACAACTGGTTTGATCAGTGTTCTTAAAAGTGAAGACAAGGTATGGGTTGCTGTAAATAAGGGTATGCTACTAACTGAGGTGAATGGGATTCTCTTTGCTCCTGAGACATTCAAAGAACATGTCGACATTGCTAGCAATACTGGTATTGTTAGTGTGTCTGGTCTGACTAGACTCTTCCCTAAATATGATCCTGACATGTTGATCTGTTTCCTCAGGATCATGGAACTCTGTCAACAAATGAATCCATCTTTCCTTAGAATGACAAACCTCCATCAGTTAGCAGTGGAAGAGGAGGAGGAGGGAGGGACAGAAAGAACAGGAGAAAGGTTGTTGTTCTTTCCATGTCTTTTGTCTAGAGATAGACCTGATGAGATGACTAGTCAAGTGTACCAGTTTGGTTGGTGTCTACAGTGTACTAGTAAACATCATTTCTTTCCTCCTCGATACTTCCATGTCCTCTCATTACGTCTTGCTTACAAAATGGCTCTACCTCAAGAAGACGACAAGTTAAATCGTTACTGTACATTTTGGAAGAATGGACTTTATTGGTTTAATGGTCATGGTGTAGGATCACTGGTAGAGATTGTGGATGAGAGCCAGTGTGTACTAGTAATGATGTCCTGTGAGAAAGGTTACAGTGACAATATGGTATCTCTAAGAAGAGATGTGATAGGAGAGGTAATGAATGTTTATAAAGAAGCCTGCCTGTCCCAGTCTAGAGGTAAAAGAGTTAGTTATTGATCCTAAAGAACTAGCCTATCCTGTGAATATACCAAGAGAAAGGACAGTGTATAGTGTAAAAGCTGTACTCTCAGCAGTAGTTGAACAACGACCATTTCTTGTTACCACTGGTACTAGACGTACAGAATTGAAAGAGATCCTACCTGATGAATCATTATCAGATATTAGTAACCTGTCACTATTAGGAGGACGTGATATTAAGGTAAGAATTAACACACAAACTGTTTGATACATTAATGCAAGCACTAATAATCAAAAGGTCATATCTTAAAACTTTATTTCTTATTTGGTCTTGTCATAATTGTGGGTTGTCATTGTGTGGCTTTTACTACTAACAATAATACTTGGACATCTGTTACTCTCACCTTTAACAATACACTACAGTCACTGTAGTGTATTTTTCAAAGTTACAAGAGTGCAAGTCAGTGACAAATATTATTATCATTGTATAGGAAGTGATTGAAATAAAGTCTGAAGTATTCAACACAAATACTATAAGAAAGCTAGGTATGTTATACTATGTACATATTATTAATCATTATTTTATAGATATTAAAGATCTTGATATTGTCATTAAAGAGCTAACAATACTCAATCATTATGGTTATTCTAACTGGTATGAGTTTGGACTTCATTTAGGATTATATGATCCAACACTAAATGCTATTAAGAAGGATCATGGAGAATGCAAGCCATGTCTGATACAGTGTATGTCTGCCTGGTTAAGAGGAGAAGATAAAGTGAGAGAGAAAGGAGGTCCCAGTTGGTCATCATTAGCTACAGCACTGGATACAATAGAAGAGAAATCTATTGCTACTAACATTAGAGATAAATATTGTCCATCAAACCAGTTAATTGTCTAGTTTGTTCTTTTCTATTATCACTAATTTTGTTAAGATATAGTGGTTTTTTTAGGGTTGCAAATTTCGCAAATTTCACAGATTACCTTCTGATTTGCGAAAATAAAATCCACAAAAATCAATTTAATACGATACCCACATGGTACACGTGGTAGAATTTGAGAAATTAAAATCTGCAAATTGAAATTTTAACAGATTTCGCAAAATATAATTTCCTCAATAAGCCACTTAAACGGTACATAATTATTTTTTTCTGTTCATAGCTATTATTATTATTACTATTAATGATACATTATTACAAGATAAATGTAAATTTTAAGGGGGCAAGCCTTAGCAGAGAGCGGCAAGCAAAGCAATATACATGTACATATCTCATTATTACTATTAGCCTCTGTCTGTCTGTTTGTTTGTAAAAAAGTCTGAGTTGATTCTGACAACTAATTGTTGTACAATGGGCAATTGTAAAATTACTATATCACTACACATAAGTACTGTGCCATCGTTGCTATTAATAACATATTACTATAATAGACAGTGATATCATTTACTATAACAACATAGTGTCAATCAATAGGATTGTTACTATTTATAGTAACAGTGTTACTATAAATAGTATCATTTACCTCTATTCCTAAGGAAGAATGACACTATGTCTCAGTTCCAGTCTCCAGTGCATTGAGTGGGAGGGAACATTAATCCAATGAATTAAGAGACACACCTCCTCAACTACCATACACTGACACCTAATACAATAAAAATAATAAAATACTATACTAGTAACAATTATCAATAGCTTTACTTCAAGTGAGTGGTACCTTACAGCTTTCCAAGGTTCCTCAGGATCAACCTTTTGTTTATCTTTAGCTCCAGCTTTAGCAAACCTTACCTGAAATGAGAGAGAGAGGAGAGGGAGAGAGGGGGAAACAGATAGAGGGGAATGAGGAGACAGAGGAGGAAGATAAAAAGAGAGAGGATCATAAAAGATCAGAGCAAGAGGAAAGAGAGCATATAGTGACTGGTTTAGCTTCTTCTTATTCACTCTCAGTAGTCAGTATCAGTTTTTTCTCCATCACTTACAACACCACCAGCCCCTGATACACACCCACTCATGTGACGCAGGCAAGGATCAAGTTGAATGATACTCTTCAGTGGAGTTAATCTAATGATTTGTAACCAATGGATTCACAATAGACCAATGAAAAAGAATATTTCAAGATAAAACAAAATCAATAAAACTCACCCTCTTTAAAAACTTTAGCAACATAATGTGACATGTCACCTGA